CCAGCCCTCGTGCAACGTCCCAGCCCTCGTGCAACGTCCTTAGCCTCACCTCCTTGTGCAGTGTCCCAGAGTTTCATGCAACATCCCAAGCCCTCATACAACATCCCAAGCCCTCGTGCAACATCCCAAACCCTCATGCAACATCCCAAGCCCTCGTGCAACATCCCAAGCCCTCGTGTGCTGGCCTATCCCCTTGCGCCTCGCACCTACCCAGATGGTTGCGGCTGGGTCCCAGCTGGGCCACACGGAGCCGGGTGGCTCCGGGCGGGATCTCAAGCACCTTGTGGTAGCCAGGGCTGTCGGGGCGGCCGCTGAAGTTGCCAGCGTGGAGGTGGCAGGAGGCTGCGGGCACCGCGCCGGAGGCCAGGACGCCGTCGCAGCGGGGCAGCTGCAGGGGCCGAGCTGAGGCCGGGCGCTCTCCCTGCCCCCGACGCAGCCCCGGCCGCCCGCGCTCACCAGGCAGCGGCCGTGGGCGCAGATGCCGCCGGCGCAGGGCGCCCCGTCGTTCAGCGGCTCCGCGTGCCGCACGTAGAAGCGGTGCCCGACGGGCCGGCAGTTCAGCTCACAGCCCCGTGCCCCCCGCGCTGCCCCGCAGCCATCAGCGGCTGCGGGCGCTCCGGAGGCACCGGAGACTCATGGAGACCCCGGAGAGCTACAGGGACCCCCAGAGACTCCAGAGACCCTCAGGGACCCTCAGAGTCCAATGGAGATCCCCAGAGACCCATGGGGACCAGTGGAGAGATACCCACAACACAGTGCCCCACAGCACCCCATAGAACCCCACAGGTCCCCACAGTGCCCAACAAGGCCCCACAGCACCCTATGGAACCGCACAGGTCCCTACAGAGATGCATGGCACAGTGCCCTGCAGTGCCCCACCGCAACCCACGGCACCCTGCAGCATCCCAAGGTGCTCCAGTCCCCCTCGCAGTGCCCCACAGTGTCCCGTGGGGCCCCACACAGGGTGGCCAGGAGTCCCCCAGGCCTCTCAGGTGGGGCCAGAAGATCCCACCGGCCTCCCTTATCCGCTGCCTCCCTTACCCCAGCCATACCCTCCCACCGCTCCCAACTCCCAGCCAATCCCAACTCCCAGGTAATCCCCTGCCGCCCTCTTCCCAGTCAGCGCTCCCAGCTCCCAGCCTATCCCCTGCCACCCTTGTCCCAGCCAATCTCATCCCAATGGTCCCGGATTCCAGCCAATCCCATGCCAACGGTCCCCCACCCGCTGCCACCCTCCTCCTGGCCAGTCCCCACCACCCCTGTCTCCAGTCAGTCCGGTACCGTCCAGGAAAGGCTCCCATCGGAAGCGGCGCCCCAGGAACTCGCGCTCGTCCAGGGCCGCGCACTGCAGCGCGGGGAGGGACGGCTGCCCAGGGGGGCAGCTCTGCGCACACGGAGCGACCACGGAGCGTGGAGTGACTCCCGCCCATGGGGCACGTGTGACACCCACGTGTGACACCCGTCCGCACGGAGCACCCACCCATGACACCCGTATGGGACCCTCACCCATGGAGGACGTATGACAGCCACGTGTGACACCCGTCCGCAGGGAGCACCCACCCATGACACCCATGTGGGACCCTCACCCATGGGGGACGTATGACACCCACGTGTGACACCCGTCCGCAGGGAGCACCCACCCATGACACCTGTATGGGACCCTCACCCATGGGGGACGTATGACACCCACGTGTGACACCCGTCCGCACGGACCACCCACCCATGACACCCGTATGGGACCCTCAC